TCGTTTTCTGATAAAAAGACCCTAATACTTGGAGATTTTAACGGACATCACCCCAATTGATCGAATAAAATTATAAAACTGACTCTAGAGGCACGCAAATTCTGGACTCGTTAGAGGACTATAATTTTGTTATTATGAATGATGGCAGCCATACGCGATTAAAATTGGTTGGCGGTACTTTACAACATTCAGCTCCTGACATAACATTATTATCATCTGATATCGCTTTTAAGTTCAGTTGGAATGTTACCAACGAGTGTTTAGGTAGTGACCACCTTATGATTAAGATTTCAACGTCTTTGAATCATTCTCCAATTACTCATAAAAGACGCAACTTTAAAAAAGCCGATTGGGTGAAGTATCGTCGCGTAATAGAAGAGGGGTGCGCTCAGTTTGACATTTCGAGTAACCCACAAGAAGCCTATGATGATTTTATCAATTTGTTGTTTAAAGCTGCAGACGCAAGTATTCCATTTGTTAAAATATGCCTAAACCCTAAGGCCAATTTTATTCCTAAACCATATTGGACTCCTCATCTATCTCAGGCTGTTGCTGAGAGACGATTAGCACTTAAAATTTTTAGACAGAATCCCACTCCCGCTAATTTAAATAAACTGCAGGAAAAAACTCGCAAGTCGCAAAAACTAATTAGAAATGCTAAAAGTAAAGGATGGTGTGAATTTTGTTAGTCCTTGAATGAAATATCTTCAGCTTCTGAAATGTGGAGAAGAATGCAATGTATAAAAGGTTATAGATCAGCCAAACGACAAATTGATAAAAGTATCGCTGAGTCATTATTGTGCAGCTTAACCCCTGACTATGTAAGTCCATCCTACCCGGGGTACACATCTCATAATCCCAAATTGGAAACTGAAAAATCTAGGTCAGAGCTTTTTAAATGTTTAAAATCTAAAGACACGTGCCCGGGCGTAGATGGTATTTCTTATTCAATGTTATTTAATCTACCTGTAGCAGGCAAAAACGTTTTGCTCAAACTTTACAATATGTTTTTTACACTAAGCTTTGTTCCCTATCAATGGCGTCAGATTCGCATTATACCTATACTTAAGTCAGGCAGGAACACTAATTGTATTTCATCTCTTAGGCCTATTTCTCTTATTTCGTGCTTATGTAAAGTATTTCATGCCATTATCAATAACCGTATAGAGTGGTACGTTGAAAACAAAAAACTATTTTCTGAAGAAACTAAAGGATTCAGAAAATCACATTCCTGTCTCGACAATTTAACCGATTTAGTCACAAACATTCAAATAGGATTTACTAAATTTTTTTTTACCATAGCATGCTTTCTAGATCTAGAAAATGCATATAATAATGTAGACACAAGTTATCTTTTATCAACCCTCGATCGTCTCAATGTTGGCGCAAAATTTTGTAACTATCTTTTGGCTTTCTTAAGTCAGAGATATTTTAATGATTGAAGGGATAGATTATAAAATAATTAGAAGCACAGGTCGCGGTCTAGCACAAGGTGATCCACTTTCTCCGCTATTGTTTAACATAGCAACAATAGATATATGTAAGTCTATAACTTCCAAATCACATCTCTCAGTATGCTGATGATTACGTCATATTTATAACTTCTAATAACTGGAAAGAGGCGCAAAATCAACTTCAATTAGGATTAGACATTTTAAATGATTTAATTCTTAAAAGAAATTTTACCATTAAAAAGTAAAATATGCGCATTTTCAAGAGGGCGTCGACGACACAACATTAGTCTAAAAATTAAAGATGTTCCTTTGGAAGTGGTAGATAACGTAAAATACCTTGGAATGTGGTTGGATCGAACGCTACGGTGGTGTAAACATATAAACGAAACATCTGAAAAAGTATTAGTTTTTAAATGTATTTTAAGTTTTATCAGGTTCGGGCTGGGGTGTCCACCCTAAACATTTACGGAAACTCTATATTAGTATTATAAGAAGTAGGTTAGATTATGCGAGCTTTTTATATGATAACAGTAGTAAAACCAATTTATTTAAGTTAGATAAAATTCAAAACCAGTCAATGAGAACTATAGGAGGTTACATAAAAAGCACCCCTATTCACTATATGGGAAGCGATCTCAGTATATTATGCCCATTACATTTAAGAAGATATTATCTTGGAGGCAAATTCTGGTTAAAAAATAAATCCGTATTAAATAACTCTTCCATTAATCTTATCTCTAGCCTATCCGATATCATTCAAAACAGGTATTGGAATAATAAGAAAAAACCACTGTTAACAATAATCCATAATAAGTTCAAATCACTTGTTATATATTCAAATTTAGAGTTAGGTATGTTTTCGCTGAATCAGTGGATCACTAGTTTAAACCTTTCAGATTTTTTAAGACCAAATATAGATGGAGTCCTAAACCCTAAACATCAATACCATGAGTTGACCTTGAAAAACGTGTATTAATTACCTAAACGAACAGTACCCGACTTACCTACTTGAAGATATTTACAGATGGTTCGAAATATAATTTCGGAATCGGGGCTTCATTTTACGATATATTGCACGGTATGGCAATAAAGTTAAAAATCAATGGGAGTATTTCAATAATGGAAGCTGAGCTTGTGGCAATCTATGAAGCTTTATCCTACACACAGTCAAATAATTATAACAATGTCGTTATTTTAACCGATTCAAGGAGTGCGCTTCAACACCTTGCTCGGTGTACTTCGGTTTTCCGGGGCTTACCAGTAGCATATGCGATTTTACAGCTTCTAGTTAAGTTACAGGCTGATTCCAGAATAGTATATTTACAGTGGATACCTTCGCATATTGGCTTAGAGGGTAATGAGAAAGCTGATATCTTAGCCAAGCAAGCTATCTCTGATGGCATTGACATTGATATTACGCCTTCATTTCAAAATTACATACCTTTATTGAAAAAATATTGTTATGATCTCTGGAAAGAATATTTTGACGAAAGATCAAAAGAAAAGGGTATATGGTACCGTGCGATCCAGCCACACCCAATGCGATCAACCTGGATAGATAACAGAGTATTGTGTAGACGCGACACTGTAACAGCATTAAGACTCAGATCTGGGCACATTCCATGCAATAAATTTTTATACTTAATGCGAAAAATTACCTCACCAAATTGTTCAATTTGTAATATTATCGATGATGTTTATCACATTTTGATAGAATGTGCCCAGAACTCAAGAGAAAGAGCAAATTGTAATTTACATTTGTCCTTAATTGGTAGTAGTAATAGTATTCTATCGGACCCGTTATCAGATGATGCCAAAAAACTGTATTTGTTAGTTAATAAGAGATTAAGTAACTAGTAAACATAATAAGTTTACTTGTTAGTAATTATATTTAAGATTTTTTTGTAACTACCAGTGCGGCATAATTATCATCAGCGACAAAGCCCTTTATATATGAATTTAAAAAAAAATAGTACATAGTACCACTTCTAAAAAAGAGACGAGCCTTATCACGGTCCTTAGAGAATCTATTAAAAGAATTACATGCTCTTAATATAAAGAATAAGTTTCGCCTGAAATTTGATCGACATATAGATGAATGTAGGCGATTTTTTAACGCAGTGAACGAGGAGGTACTGAGATATGTAATCTTTTTAATAAGTTAGGACAGTCTAAACGATCCTGAGCTATATTACTAAGACTAGGTCAGCAGTATAGCGCCTAGTTTGCAGCGGAAGGAGACGATAGACGAGAACACTTAATTCGTAGCTTTCTTTATGTATCTGAAATTTAGAGCATACTTAAAGAATGTTTTTTTTTTAATTGCTTCAATTTTATTAATGTATATGCTACTGTTCTGTGCGAGTATGAACCTTCCTCGTTCGTGTCAACACATTAGTGCTGCAGTCATAATGCAGGTGCAGCATGACTACCACGTAAAAAAAGATCTAATTTTTTAAATGAAATAACATTAGTTATATATATATCTCTTTATTAACATAACTATTGACCGTGACACAAGAATAAAGAGCAGAAATATTTTAATGGGAGGAAACTCTGTAAACACTCCATAACTAACCGTAAATAGATCAGATTTTTTAAGAGCACTTTAGGATGGAATGAACTTTCCCCAGTTTACAAAATAATAAAAGCAAAATGCAAAAATTGGTTTAGCACATAAAGCAGTCCCCCATGTTATAGGGGAAAATTGTTGGAATACTATATAACTTTTATTATTATAATAAAGAGCTTAATAGAATGATCATGAGATTCGAGAAGTGAAGTGTGCCAAACCAATACTATTTTAGACCCTTATTTTCATCATCACATTGTGTTACCTTATAAAAACACTTAATAATATGCTTACACCTATATATAAAATGAGGATTCAGTGCAGTCGAAGTTCTTCATATAATTTAGCCCACAATGGCACCGGTGGAAATGAGAAATACATTCCTAAGACTATATTGCACTTTGTATTTTAACATCTGTCAATATATAATATATGCATTTCAAAACAGTTAATAATTTGGAATATATCAATCTTAACTTTTACATCTAATAAATTCACAAAAAACCTTAGATAATTCTTTTTATATAATTACTGATGGCAATAAAATATTGAATATGCATTCTACATTTGTAGGTTGGTTATCAGACTGAAATGGATATATACCTAAAAAAGGGAAAGGAGAAATAACATAAATGATGAAAGATGGATTGGACATGCAAAATTAGATTAAAATATCAGTGGTAAAAATTATCACAAATTCGAGCAAATATTGACTAAATGTCCCAATCAACACTCTAAATCTTTAGAATTAAGCTCTATCTTAGAAAAATGAAACTAGGGCAACCCTGTAAATTCACGTTTTCAGACTGGCAACATTAAGTGCACAAATAAAAAAAAAAACTAAAATCCAATTCTTCATATACAACAAAACTGACAAAAATACATTTGTTATTCTTTTTTATAATGTACGTAGCTAAACATAAGTAAGGAATAGTATAGTGCACTTAACTAGTAAGATTAAGCTTAAATTATATTTAGAGAGTGTGGTAATTCCTTTCAGTTTGAGTCTTGTAGTACTTGAAGCCCATAAATCCGATTGCAAGTAGACCAAGTGTCAAAATTATGCCACCGATGAAACTGGGTCCATCAAAACTGAAACAAAAATGTGCTTTATAAGAAAACTTGGAACATAATTATTTACTAAAAAAAAACCAGCACAGCAACTGGCCTTATTCTTTTTAGTACAGTCAAGTCTGGCAACTTTACCAATGGATGTTACCGGGGTGTACTGCTACAAAATTACGATTAACACGAAAAACGTAACGTTGCTTTCGATATGAAAACATGAGAGTTAATTTTGGCATTTTATTTTAACCTCGATTTGTACCGGCGACATAACCTCTTTGTTCAGTGCTCCAGAACTTTAGTTTTTTTGTTTGAAATACTGAATTTAGGTATCTATATCTTTGTAGTAACATAATATTAATGGTTATGAAATGTAATATATCGTTTTTAACATCTTGGTCTTAACATTTATCTATAAAAGTAACGTTGCAAAGTTACATTTACTAATAATGCCACAATGTGACTGTTATTATGTCATGTTTTGTTACAACCAAGGGTTGTCACCTTCAACCTATATTTTTAACCAATTACAACTATTTAAACAGTTTTCTGCACTTGACATTCTATGTTTATATGCATGTTTGTATCGATGTTTCACAGTAGCAGTCCATTAGACCGATTTTACCGAATGAGTCGTCAATACAATGATTTCAAAAAAGGAAGAGTTTCTGAATTCTACTGTAATTTTTGTATATATGTTGTTACGCTATATCTATTTCAATTGTGAACCGATTATTCTTTTTTACTATAATATAGCTTATACCTCCATGGTGGTCCCATTTAAAAATTCACCCCTAAGGGTGGAAAAATATTTAATTATAAATTATAATTTAAAACTTGATTTAAGTTCAATCTGAGATCGTATCTGTGATACCTTACTGTAAGAATCTAATATACCTGTGAAACCAATTAGGCACAGCTCGGATCGTAATAACAAGGGAGATATGTAAAGAAGATGTAACACATAACATACCAATAATTAGTATAAAATAGCTCACAGACCATTATGACCAGATGTTGTCTGTAGCATTTTCAAATGCGCTACATAAGCCGTCCGCAAAATATAACATTGCAAATGACGGTTTTAACGTAAAAATACGGCTAACCGGGAGTGTAGACAAAAATAAAATGTGATGGCATAACATATAACCAGTAAATCAAATATTAATCTTCATTTTCTATTTTGTAACCATTTTTGAAGTTTCTTAAAAACTGTTTAAAATTAGAATGCAAAGCATAGTAATGAGTATATGATTCATAACAAATGGAACAATGGAAAAGTTATATAGTGTAATTTAAGAACTGAAGTATCCAAATACTGTGGTGTATAACACCATGTACCACTATTCGACATAACACTGTCTTCATAATTCAACTGATAGAGGTACACAACTAACATAGAATTTAATTCAATATTGACTAATGACTCAAAACATTACCTTTATTTTAGTAATTAGTACACATTGGCACTCCGAATTGATACTACAAGTCTCCATGACAAGATACAAAATAATTTGAATTTGAAATCTATAATAATAATCAATAACATACCCTCTAGCTTGTAGTGTAGGTTTATCTTCATCCTTTTTCGGAGCTTCAGTTGGCTTGTTTGTCACAGCACTTTTCTCAGTGGTAGCAGCAGTATCTTTTTCAGTCTTTTCTTCTGGTTTTGTTGTATTTTTGACTTTGTCTTTATTGTCTACAGGACCTTTCGCTTCAGTGGAACTTTCAGTTACTTTAGGTGACTCTTCTTTCTTTTTATCAGTGTCTATTTGTGGTACTGTGTTCTTCTTATCAGGTGTTGTCTTATTATCATCAGAAGCAGGTTGAGTTGGATTTGTTGTTTTACTAGGAACAGTTGTGGCCTCTTGTAAGTGTGTAGTGTTATTGTTAAGGTCTGTAACTTTATCTGGTTTTTGTTCCATTGTAGTAGCATTTAGAGAAACTTTTGATTTTTCTGTTGTAATTATAATCTTTGGTCCAGTCTCATTTGTTTTTTGATCTTGAACTGGTTTCTCTGTAATTGTAAATAATATTACAGTATTTAATACAATGTGTTCATGCAACTGCATTAAAATTAATATTCCTATTTAGGAACTTGCTTAGTATTATAAAACTTTGAAAAATCCAAATAACTATTAATGTTTGGTTTCAAGCAACACCTATGGCAAACTATTTTCTATAAATTTGAAAATTTGCTTAAATTAAATTATACTATAGATATATTATGAAAATTTGTAATAAGGCCTTAATTATATAGTCACAAATACAGTCACAGATACTAATGAAGAAAAGGGTAAAAAAGGTAAATAAGATTTTCCTATTATTTTTGTACCAACTAGATACATTTTTACAATTTAAAAGGGCTGTAAAAATTGAATCTTGCTGAGGATACTGGCAATATAGCTCAGCAATATTGCCAGTGATAGTTATGCTACAATTTTATTGTACAACACCTTGCAGAGTATATTCCGGGAAGGTTGCTTCAACTGTATCACTGAGCAATTGAGTTAATAAATATGAAGTAACATTAAGGTTATAAGGTACGCAACAATGCACTACGTTGCACAATATCGACAACTTGACAGCTATATATACAATAGCAGCTAGAAATTGCCACAAAACTAGCCTGTTGCCTGTTCTCAAGCACTTTTAATGACCTAATATTTGATTACATTTAGATAAAGCAATTGATTTTGTTAAATATTAGAAAAATAAGTCATTATTTGAATTACAAAAATCTCAATCTGTATAAATTTACAAGAAAAAATCTATCATTTAAAATATTAAAATTGTATTTGTTAATTATTCTGGTTATGCAAATTACTGTATCATAAATAATTAATTATGTATGTGCATATTATACATGTATTAGAATTTCATCAAGTGATTTTTAACATGAGAAGTTACTTATAGCTTGATTTTTTATCTCATTTTTAAAATCTATATAAATAAAATAATAGAAAGGTTTGCAGTTGTGCGCGCATCACGGAAAAACTACTGGATACATTTCAATTAGGTTTTCTAAGTTTTATTTCTTAGACACTTGGCCCTTATCTAAAAAAAATATTGCGACATCTTCATTTAGTATAAGGTCATTAAAGTTTTAAGAAACAACATTTTTTATACGGGGATTTTCACACGGTCAATTATACGTCGCTTGCTCTCGCGTTACTAAACCAGATAATTTATATATTTTAGCTACAAACGGAGCAACGAATAACAACATAAAAAATGTTGTAAGCAAAGTATATTTTTTTTGCTTATGATCTTTTTGATGTTTTTTCCTTCCCACATACGAAAACTTTGTTAAAATATTATCAAACAACGTGGAAGATGTCGCGGGTATCAGATAGTTATTTATATTTTAATTTAAGATTGCATTTTAAGTCTCTTAGTAGTTTTCTGCAGTCTAATGATAAAAAAGAATTACTAATTTAATATTGTTCTTGCTATTTTACAGTTTTACAGCTGCAACATACTAAGGATCATAAACAGTTTATTATTACTTTATAGTACTGAGAGATTTGAAGTTCAAGTATTGCTGTTTTAAATATTTAATAATATATGTTTATATTTTGTATTTCTCTAGTACAGGAGCAATTCTAGTATGGAACTTATTGCGTGTAGTAGTGTAATAAATTTATTTTGTGGTAGTAGGTAGGTAGTCTTTGATACTTAATATAATTTTCAACTGTATTAATTATGATTACATTTAATTATACATTTTTTAACTTTTGGTTTTTCTGTTAAACACAATAATTTTTATTTATAATTAAAAACAGATTAGTTGTACCTTTTTAAAGCATCTTAATTTTATTTTGAAACATTTTATGTTATCAGTCCCGTATACTCATTAAATAGCCTTAGGAATAAGCTTTTTCCCTAAACAAGGTGGCTTTATTAGACCTACCTATTATCCTAAACATAAAAAATAGGTAACTGTTGCAAGTATTAATTAAAAATGGACTTCAGTCCTCTCACTAGTAGAGAATCATGATAATATCTGTGATAATATAAAGATTTTAAGGATGAAAATATATAATCTTATAAGCTTAAGGGTAATCCGAAATTCACCAGACAATGTACATGTCTTATTATATACAATTATTATAGGCAGCTATATTTATAGGCATCTGTGCAAATAGCCTGATAAGCGAGATCATAACCTTTCTGTGACATACATTGATATGAGAATTTATTATTATAGGTATGTATACAATAAAACTGAAATAACCACAGTTAATTTTACTATGCAAACTTAGAAATAAGTTTTTTTTTAAACTAATTTTTATTTTTTTATTGAATATTGAAGATTTTTTGTCTAATTTACCACTTGTTTGAAAAATATATTATTGATATATATATTTTTTTATAGAATAAGGTTGAGTGACAAACGAGCACACAGTCCACCTAATGGTAAGTGGTTGCTGTGGCCCATTAACATCTACATCTATCTTCGTTTGCAAATTAAAATGCAGATGGGTAGTCACTCGTGAGGGCTCAGAAAGAAAGCCTCTTTTCCAGTAAAAAGGGTCTTCGGTTCTCTACACTCACCATACGAAACACAGCAGCATTAAGCTGCTATTCTGTGAGAGCGTGGTCCTGCCCCGATCTAGCCGAGCCATTGGTGCTACAACTATACTATTAATATAGCTGCAGCATGGCTCTACCACATTTTCATATTGTGTTCTTTTAGAAAAAAAAAAGAATAGTTTACAATATAAATACACAATTTAACCATACAAATTAAAAATCACCACATTCCCATGTATATCATTTATCAATGAGGGCATCCACGACTTTTTACTGCCACCAGGGCGGCGCCGCTTAAAAGTGAGGTATAATATTTGGCAGATATCATAGCGGGGAAGTTTGTGCGAAAAATGTAAAGGTTAATGTTTCTTTACGTGGTATTAGCTATATTTTACACTAGCTGTGCCCTGCGGTTTCACCCGCGTCATCACGTGTCCGAGGTGCGCGACATGACCTAGTTCAAGCATTTTATAACAGCTAGGGTTTATAAGAGTCGTTCGTGCACCCAGCCAAGTATTGAATTATTTTAATTTTACATTATCTCTTAAACTATGCATCCAAATAACATGGTATAAAGAACAAAGTTTATCTTCATAAAATTGTCTTGATGATGAAGTAACTTTCGTTCGTAAGGATAAATAGGCCGTGCCTAATAATAACGGTCATAAATCACTTTTAAATTTTCCATGATTTCCATCACAAAATAAGTAAGACCTGGGGGTTCTGGGATCTTGGACTATAACCTTTTTTATTCAATCTTTGCTTAATAAAGTTTTTGAACTTGGTAGTGGACAAAATTAGTACATTTTCTAAGGTTTTATTGTGAAAGTGTAAACATTTGCCCAATAATGAATTACTAACTTTGCAAAATCAACCATGAGTTTGTGAGGGATAAATCTTATTTTTTGTTAGTATAAAAAAGTAGAAGTTACAGGCTATATAAATGCCATTCCTGAGCACAGGTCTCTAATTTCTAATAGGGTTTTAGGGCAAGGAAGTATCCTCTGTATTACCTGCTGCTTCACATCTTCAAAATATTCTTTCAATATTGACTATAACATAAAGGTTAGCTATATATCAATATTCATATGTAGACAGTGTTAATATATATAATTAATGTATATTTATTTAAAGTGTGTAATAGTGCAGTAATAAGATGAATTATATTTTAATTTCTGGCTATTAAGGTTTGGCCAGCTACAAGATTCGTACAAGGTGCAGCAGATTGTCATTGGTTATGTTTAAGTGTATCCGATTTATAAAATAAATAAAATTAGCCTATATTAACTGTAACCTTAAAATTAAAATGTGGAAAACTAAAATACATTTTTTTTTATTATAAGGGTGACAAAGGAGCACACAGTCAACCTGATGGTAAGCGGTTGCTGTGGCCCATATACACCTACATCTATCTTTGATTAAAAATCAAAAAGTATATACAATATCAGCCCTGAGGACTAAGATAGAATGCTTCGAAGCCAATAAAAATAGTCTCAGATTTACACTGACCATAAGAAACACTGCAGCATTTAGCTGCTAATTTATGCTAGTAATCTGTGAGTGTGGTCCTTCCCCGGCTGAGCCAACCCATTCATGCTGCAGTCATAATATAGCTCCAGCGTAGCTCTACCTATATAGCCCTTTGTTTACCTCAAATCTTTCACACAGTAGAGTATTTAGAAATGCTTGTTACAAGTGTTTAATAAATAATGTTTTATTTTTATCCGAAACTATGGTGTACTGAAACCAGCCTTTCATAAGCGGTTTCATACCAACACCCATCCCTCACGCTCCCGCCCAAGCGAAATTGATTGTATGTTTAGTCATTCCTTCCAGAATTTTATTTTTTGTATGAAGGTATAGTAAAAAGCCTTAGTTTAATTAAGGCCGATTCAGATGTTCATATTGATATACTTAAATAAGAATTACCTATCATAACCAGGTAAATTTATGATATAGACTAAAAGAAATTATAAAATTCAAAACATTAACAAATCAAATTTATTTTCGTGTGATAATAATGAAATCTATGGCTTCGGAAATTTTATTATTATTTCAAGTTTCAAGAAACAAAAAATAGGATTAATAGGATACGAAGTAATCACTTTTTGGTGCAGCCTATAATAGAGCGAGTAATGTAAGTATCAATCGTTCTGAATTATCTTAAGAATCCGAAAGCGGATGTTAGTTACGTATAAACATTGTATACTAACACCAATAAAAGGGCTATTTTTTTACCCACAAAATAAAAATACGTTAAGCGTTCTTAAAAATGTAGTATGCTTAAAATTGTTAAAAATATTTCGTAATAAATAAGAGCGTCATAGTAAAAACAAGTTTTAGGTGGTCACCATGAAGAAATTCTATTCGGACGCAATTTTATACGCACAAGATTGCTTTAATATATAATCTTACCTTGTTCGTCGGCTGGCTTACTTAGACAAAGCGATAACGATAACAAACATATAAATATGACTTTCTTCATCTTGGTGGCTTTCTTTGGCTAATGAAAATTCGTTAAAAACCAACAGCAAACGAATATCGTCGCAAATTTGTGATGAAATGAAAACGAAATAGAGCAAAGACAAAGACTGGGCCAATGTTGCTAAGTCAATAAAACAGAACACGAAATGACTTCCGGGCCGATTAGGTACTCTATGGGGTATCTAGTTTTGGCGGGAAATAAGTGATTTAGAAATACTTATGGCGGGAAATTGGCCACGTGCGAATTGTTGCTCCTGTTTTAAAGTTAATAATGGCTTGTATTGGATTTTGATGGGTAAAAGTAATTCATTTTACGTTCTAAGTGATAGCGCATAAACTACTACTGGAAGCGATGGCACAGATGCTGCGATAGTAATTTAAGTATTAAGTTTATTTTTCCGCTTACGTGGCTTGAGATACAATCGTTATACACTGTCCGCTGGATTGAGCTGTCTACAAAATATCCCAAAAACTTCGCAATGTGACGCATCAGCATATTTTAAAGAATTTTGTGAATAAATCACAGATTAACTAGTGGATTCTACACTAATGAATAAATAATAATATCAGACTAGGCTGTATATTGTAATACCTTTCCCTGTTTATGTTTTTTTTATTAAGATTTTGGCTTGGATGCTTGTCTTTTAAGCGTTTGAACAACAAAGGCACCTGAACCAAGTCCCATTTCGATTTTTAAAAACGATCAAACAATTTTAATTAAAAATATTGAATAATTAACAATTAAGTTGTATTTATGATTAAACAATCATCAATAGCGATCGAACAAATGAACAGTAACGAATAAACCACAAACAATTACTTAAAAATAAAAAACTCAGAAATAAAAAATAAAAAACCAAATAGGGCTAGGTTCAGGTACTTGAACAACAACGTAAACCAAGAGTACCTACATTGAAAATGTAAATGAGCTATAACAGGAAATTGATCTACGGTCAGTGTCTCTAAAGGTGTTTTTAGTCTAAAATTACGAAAAATAATTGAATATTACGGTAGACTAAAATTTTAAAACACGGAAAACTTTTATTAAAGTGTTAAACTTGTGTTGATAGTACTTACATTACTTATATCGACATTTAAGTTAAACATGACTTAAATCAAGTTAAATATTTAACTTATCCGCTAGTTATCTGTTTTCTATACATTGACAAATTAATGTTTTTAATAATTTCATACGAGGAATGGAAGTTAACGCAATTCTTGTCATTTCTCCTGATTACTTGCTGCGTGAGTAGGTTTTATTTATACAGAGTTTATGCTGATCACTGAACAGGGTTCATAATTTTATGAACAATTGATTTCTTTTTTACGTCTTCAATCAAGTCAGTGATATATGTAAATATGCTCTAAGACGGCATTTGAATTTGATGCAGCAGGGATAGCATTTCTAAAATAAAACGCGCTAAATTGTAGAATGGCAGTGACTCTTCTTTAGTTTTCATCTGAGATATCTGATGCCAGAATACATCTCGGGACTCGTACACGTCTGACACACATTTCCTTTATTGAAAAGTCTTTACTTTTCATTTTTTATAGAATAAAAGTTATAAAAGAGCATACAGTCTACCTGATGGTAAATGCATGCTGTAGCTCATATACCTACATCAACATTTATTCTCAATTTGATGTAGTTATCCAAAATGGATCCAGTCACAAAAATTTACTTTTGGGAAAATAGGAGTTTTAGTAAAATTGATATATCAAAATAACAAAACCGTTGTTTGTTTTAAAATTTCTCTTATATTGGGTATTTTTAGCTTCTTCCTGTATAGTATTGTTTTAGTAAGTTTCATGTATATAAATATACTTTCTTTCATTAAAAACATCTTTGGTTCTTTTTTACAATATTAAAAATACTAAGGGCATTTAATTAAAAGTAATAAAAAAATCATACACACAGCATCATCAAGCTGTATTTTTATGCTGGTATTCTGTGCGAGCATAGTCTCACCGCGGTCGAACCGATCCATTCGTGCTACAACCATAATTGTTTCGCTGCAGCATGGTTCTACCACGTATAAAATTCATTCGTCTAAATTTTTGTTTTTTAGTGAGCTAACTTCGTTTTGATGACCCTCCCTGACCCCTGTCGTTAGTCGAATAATAAGAATAACTGATTTTAATAGATATTAGTATTACTAAATATTACTTGTTCAATAGATATTATAGAGAAAGAGAAATTGTGCTGAACGTTAACGAAGAGATTAAAACGCCAAACGCAGAGTATTACTATGCAGAAGTATAATTAATAAAGATATAATTTATATATATTTATGAAATTCGTGATTTGTTCGCATAAGCTTTGTCATGTTGTCTATGTACACAAGAAAATTCCGGGATACTCCCCATGAATATTACAGTGTTGTCAGAATGAAAAATTATATTATTAGATACATTTTAACGGGGTTTAGTAGTTCTAGCGCACAAGTTAGTACATAGGTAATTTCACAAGTATTTTAATATTACTTCTGCACAATACAGTAAACTTAATTAAAACAATTACAAGTTATGAACAAAATTTCTTAGGTAAACGGCGCACACGTTCACTCTTTCTTAGCGTGGCGGAAACGGAAACTGGAGGCGCTAGAGTGGGTTCTTCGCGAGGCGAATCGACGCCTGCCATTGGCTGGATACAACGACCCGCGCATGCGGGGTGGATACCGGTGTATGCCCGGTGTTGCCGCGTTACAGCTTTAGATATTATTAGATAAAATTATATTATTAGATTTTTTTTATTTTGTTAGTAGTGGTGGTAGTTATATATAGAAAAAAGGTTTATCACTGGAGTGATCATGAATGCCAATGAATGCTGTAAAGTACTCGAAACGAATTATAAGTAAAATAAGTTGGCGTAAACATAAGAAATCATTGTAATAAGGATTATGTTAAGGTCCATTTAAAAGAGACAAAATTTCGGTAGAATATGGTACTGTAATAATATGTTCATGGTGGGTAGATCTTCATAAATACGGTACGTTTGTGATAATTACGGCGTGATTGAAGATTTTGTCGGCGGTGGATTGCTGCTTTTGCATTATATAGTTTGAAAACTTGATATTGATACGTAAATTGGGTGCCATTATGTGTATTAAATGACTGAGCATGTGTACTAAACGGTGGAAACGATGTAAGAATTGCTTTGATGGTGATATAATCATCCAGATTTTTAATCGCTTCGGTTCATTACTTTCTAATCTGTATTGATCATTAACACTTTATTTCGTCTAGGCTTCCCAACTGTAGTAGACGAATTTGCAGGAAATTAGTCTTGGCGAAAAGGGCGAAGCTGTAGAAGTGGAGAAAAATGTTATAAGATTTTACTTTCAAATTTTATTAAGCGATTTAAAAAGTTCTAACTAAACCCGTTTAAATGATTCTTTTTATTAAATAGACTACCTCAAGGGTACTGGTATATAAATTGTATGAAAAAATAAAGAAAGAAGGATCCTTAGGGATGGAAAAATAGTGAATGAATTTTTGTTTTAACTATTTAAGTGACTTATTATTAGTTCCTTTGCCTTGAGCTTGTGATATTGCTTAGTACACTCAAAAGTGAAGTGAAAAGTGAAAAAAAAAATACACTAAATAAAAATTAAAAACAGACTTCACAAACAAAAACGAAAAAAAAATTAACCACATAGTAGCTTCTTAAATCTATGATAGTACGTAGAAAATTAAAGTACCTTTTGTCAAGTATTCTGTATGCCAAAGTAAAACAACATACTTAAGTATTTTTTGATCTTTTGATCTTCATTCGAATGGTAAAACAAAATGTGCTTACAGATTTCGGATTGTGTTGTGTTGTGATCGAAACATTTTTTCATGAGGTTTGACATTGGTACTGGTGAAATTAACGATCGGATTAAATGTTATGATTGATCGAGCTCTCACTTTCATTGAGTAACATCGTAATTTTTTGCTTTTTAATGCTAACTGAATAATTTTACATAATGTTCTATTCTCGTTCATCTCAATTTGCCGATTTCCTTATGAATTTTATGCTGTCGTACGACTTGTTGTTATGCCTTTATCAACTAAAAGTGAAAAAAAAATGCGGACCGTCTATCCGAGTGAATATGAAGGTAAGCCGAACGTTACAAATAAATTAGGTAAACAATCAAATTAGAAATAGATAAATCTTCACAAGGATATGCAAAGGGAAATCTCTTATATTATATTTATATTATGATATTTGTTTATAATATAATAATTATTTAATTATATATTTTTGCCGAATATAATAGTTTCGGCAAAAAATATTAAAGTTATCAGTGAAAACTTTGAAAAAAAAAATAACGGTGCAGGAACTACGTATCTATAAAAAGTTACAATCTATAACATCTAAACTAAAATTTCAATTCATCCACCATATTTGATAAATTCATGACTTAGTAACTTAGAGTAATTACATAGGGTGGATGCCCCTATTACGAGCCTTTTAGTGCCAATTTCAATTTTAAAAATTCCTACTATTTTAATTAGGACACAATATTTTTAAACGTTTGTTTTAATCGATAGGTTATTTATGGACAAATGTAATAAACATTTATTTACAATGATATTATATCAAGAACAATTTTAAAAATGACGATAAGCAAAAAAAGGCGTAATGGCTCAAATTCCAGCCACCCTGAATCGAATGTCGTTGTTAGGGATCGCAGTGGACTGTATTATTGACTACGCTAGGGAAACTGCTTAAAGAAAAGATGGTACTGTCGAACTATACTGTATTCAAACTATTTACAATGTGGCACTATTAACTACACTATATACAGAGGGGAGTCTTCTTAATTTCTTGGAGTCTTGATTCTTCTTGATTTCTCTTGCTGTTTCTTCTCTTCGAGTGCCGCTTCCGAAATGAATGGCTCACAGACCGAGACGCCCTTCTTATATGTCGTCCTCCCTGGTTAGGCGCGCCCGGTGCGATGAACTTCCAATCGACGCGCCGAGTCAGCGCGTAATCCTTCAACTGTGGCGCCCACT